GGGGGGGAGAGGCGGGCCCAAGCGTTGCGGGAGTCCAGCCTGTGGCTGACGGTTACTGTGCTCATGTCCAGGTGTGAGCATGAATGTCCAGCCCATGTACCTGGGGGAGAGCGCCCCCAAGGAGCTCCGAGGGTCTGTGGCCATGACCTCAGCCATCTTCACCGCCCTGGGGATCGTGATGGGTCAGGTGGTTGGACTCAGGTAAGTGCCGCCCCCCCCACCCCACGCGCACTGAGAGGTTAGAGGGATGCCAGGGAAAGCCCTTCACCTAAATTTCCCCCCTACCCCCCCAAGTGGATTAAGGCGTTGCTTCCTGTATGAAGGCGTTGAAACTCTGTCCGCGTGCATCTGGCCAGTGTAGTGTCAGTCAGCCACACTTGGTGTGATCACCCTCTTCTCGCCTCTCCGGATCAGGGAGCAAAGAGGAGAGGGTGCAGGTCTGGGCTTTTAAAGGGAGTGTGTCCTGTTCATCCCAGAAAAGGGAGGTGAGGGCAGAGCCCTGTGCCCTGGGAAGAGCCCTGGGGAGAGGAGTTGCCAGGGATGAGGTGGGGCTATGACCCTGTCCTATCGTGGGTCCCTACCTGGGTGTCCAGACCCAGAGCTGGTTGGGAAGAGGCACAGGGTAATGCAGACCCTCTGCCGTCAGGGGGGCCGGTAGGGGACAGAGCTCTGACAAGGAGGCACCTGGTCCAGCCTCTCCTCTGTCTCCCCAGGGAGCTCCTGGGTGGCCGGCAGGCCTGGCCCCTGCTGCTGGCCAGCTGCCTGGTGCCTGGGGTGCTCCAGCTGGCCTCCCTGCCCCTGCTCCCCGAGAGCCCACGCTACCTCCTCATTGACTGTGGAGACTCCGAGGCCTGTCTGGCAGGTGAGTCCCTGACCTCGGGCCCCCAGACCACCCTCGACCATGGGGCACATCTGGCCAGAGCATGTGGGTCCTCATTTCCTGGGTCGCATTTATTCAGGAAAAGCTATCCCTCTCTTTGTGCCTCAATTTCATGATCCATCCATCCCTTCAGAGCTCTTTATCAAGGGGCTGTCCTAAGCGCCAAGGCAGTGGGATGGAACAGACCCAGCACCTGCCATCTGGGAACCCCCAGGGTGGTGCAGAGAAGGAGCGCCACCTGCCCCCTGCCTGACATGCAAGATGAAGAAACACTGAGTAAGACCTCAAGGGCCCAATGCCAGCTGGGCTGATGGTCTTCCCTGTTAGCTATGGCCACAATAATGATGCCGAAGGAACAATCCCCAAATCTCTGGCTTAAAGCACACAGTCCTTTACTGCATCATCTATTGTTTACTTGCTGGGCTGTTTGCACGACCCTGCTGATCTCAGTTGGGCTGGCTCATGGTGTCGGGGTCAGCTGGGGCTGGCCAGTTGAGGCTGGTCTGGGCTGGAGCAGTTCAGCTCTGCTGCACATGCTGCTCCTCGCACTCTTGGTACTGACAGACTAGCCCAGAAGGCAGATCCAACTGCACAAGCACTTTCCAAACCTTTGGTCCCTTCCTGCCCACTAACCTCCCATTAGCCAAGGAGAGTCACGTCACTGAACCCAAAGTCCAGAGATGGGAAAATCCATGGCATCTCCACTCATGTGGCAAGGGGTGAAGACCAGGGCCCACTAATGTATTCTTCCCAGCTTGCCATGGTGGCCACAGTTATTATTCATGTCCCTTTCCTGAGCAGGAACATGCTCAGTGCTATCCGGAAACACCCCCCACCCCCACCAAGTCTCACCCAATCATGGCATCAGGCTTGAAGCCCAGGATCTTAAGATCATGTCAAGTCTATATATGCCTTTTCTTGAGCCAAAGACCCAGGAGATGAACAGAAGTCTTCTGCCTCGCGCGCACTCAGCAGACACTGGTGAAAAAATGTTTTTCAAAAAAGAGGCGGCAAGGAGGCAGAAAGCAGTTGCCGATTCATAGCAATGCTGAGTGCCCCTGGGAAAACGCTGCCAGGTTCCCCTGCCCTGGGATGGAGAGTGCTCCTGCATGAAGCCCTGGCTCTGCCCCCAGGGAGGGGCTCCCCAGGCCACTGAGAAGTCCAATCTGGGTGTGACGGTGGCACTTTGGAGTCATTTAACTGTAATATGACCCCACAAGACAATTCAGCGCTAAACAGTGATTATGTTATTCAGTGGAGTCCAGGCTGTTACATATAGAATCATAGACTGTCAGGACTAGAAAGGGCCTTAGGGATCATTTTCTTCAGCACCCTCGTTGTACAGATTAGAAATGCCTAAAGGAAGACAGGGACTTAGTCGAGACTCTTCAGCTGTTCGGGGTAGATCTAAGATCAGACTTTGAGCCTCCTGACACTATCACCTTCCTTTTCTATCACCTTCCTTGACACCTGAAGAGGGCCCTGGAAAATGTACCTATAGAAAACTGGGGCACAGAAGTCTTTACATTTCAAACTGTCTTGGTGTCTTTTCATCCAGGCTGGCAGAACTTCTGTCAATACAACTTTCTCCAAAAATGATGTGAACTTTCTGTGCATTTGATTTATGTGCCAGAAAGCCACATCCACAATTCTTGTCGAGACCTGCTTCTCTCTTGCAACCTAATTACTGGAATCTAGGGCATGTCGAGCTGCGGTGGACCAATACCCTTAAGCCTCTGTAATGCCCGTTTTTCCAGCCCAGAGGGTCTATGAGGCACTGCAGGAAGCCATACCCTTGACTTGATCTTTACCCTCAGGCCAGGGCTCGCTGGCCTTGCTCTGGATTTAGTCTTTGCTCTCAGGCTGTGATTTAACTTAGGGCTCTGCTAGATGGAGAAGCTAGAGATGAGAAACAGATTTCTTTTTCTTTAACTAACCTAGCAAGCTCTGAAATAAGTTAAATTGGATTAAATTGTGTTCCCTCTGAAGGTCTTTTTGAGCTCATTTTCCTTACAATCAGCTCAGAATACTCAGGTAAAGGCAGTTAGTTCATGCTTTCGACACTTGGAGATCTCTTTGCCCAAGTCCAGAAGTTCATTAGACCTGTTTTGTTTCTTGCACGTTACACGGGCTTTCATTCTTCCAGCCTCCTCACCGTCCTCTGCCTGGTTAGGAACCAACACTGTATGTCATAGGTCCTAGTTATGGCGTCACCTACTCCCGTACCAGGGGTTTCTTTAGTCCGTTTTTTTTCTTGCTGCCTAACAGTCGCACCTCTGCGGGAGACCAAGGAAGCAATTACTTAGCCCAGGCCTCTGAGTTCTCGGGTTGGCTGATGAAGGTTTCGTCTGGCTGGAGGCTCTGTCACTGGTGTGGGCATTGGCTGATCTAGCACGGTCCCAGCTGGGCCATCTCTGCTTTGTCCTGGGACCAGTGGGCCAGCCCCCCCGCAAGTTTTTATGATGATGACAGAAGACCAAATAGAAACCAGCCGGTCTCTGTCTCTTGAGTTGGAACACGCGGCACGCCCTGCTACGGCCTAATTCTACGGGCCAGAGCGAGTCGCAGGGCGGAGCCCAGCACCAAGGGGCGGATGTATACACGCCTCTTTAGTGGGAGCAACTGCCAAATCCCATGGCCCAGGGAGGGGTGGAGAACTGAGACGGCAGTGGAGATCTGCCACAATTGTTGTGTCCTGTGTGATGCACCCGCAGAACCCCGAGTTTCTAAAGCCCTATCTGCTCCATGGTGCTGTGAACTGATCATCCCCATCAGACCAAGGGGACCCTGGGAAGGCGAAAGGAGGTGGGCGTGGGCAGCTCACTGTGGGGGTCACAGAGGGCCTGGGGGAGGGGAGCTCAGCGTCCTCTACCCTGCCCCCTCCCCCAGCGCTGCAGCGGCTGCGGGGCCCCGCGGACGTGGCCGGGGAGCTGGCCGAGTTGGAGCGGGAGCGCGCCGCCTGCCAGGGCCGGCGCGCGCGGCGCCCGTGGGAGCTGTTCCGGGACCGCGCGCTGCGGAGGCAGGTGGCGAGCCTGGTGGTTCTGGGCGGGGCCATGGAGCTGTGCGGGAACGACGCGGTGAGCAGTCCGGGTCAGGCCGGGGTTGGGGGGAGAGGGGAGGGGGAAGGGCCGGTGGGGAGGGCCGGTGCGCCTCGGCCTCTCGCCCCCTCCCCACCCCGGCAGGTGTACGCCTATGCGTCGGCAGTGTTCAGCCAGGCGCGGATTGCCCCGGAGAAGGTCCAGTACGCCGCCATCGGGACCGGGGGCTGCGAGCTGCTGGCGGCGCTGCTCAGCGTGAGTCTGCCTCCGGGATGACACCCCATCCCCCAGCCCTGCGGCGGACCCTTGGGGGTGCTGGCCCTCGGGGTGCTGATCCTTGGGGTGCTGGCCCTCCGGGGACCGCAGGCCTCAGCGCTAAGCCACTTCCACTTCAGGTCGCTATGTTAAAATACGGCGAGTTAGCAAGCACTTATCGAGCACCTAGTTTGCCGGGCACTCCCACCACCATTTTGAGATGGGGAAACTGAATGAGGTTGAATGACTGAGGTCCTCTGAGAAGTTAATAATGTCTTAATCCACTGAAGCGGTAAATTGCTCTCGCGCCCGCCTCCCCAGCTTCCTCATGAGGCCCCTCCCCACTGCTGGCCCACAAACCGAGGGGACCGCGACCATGGCCCACACCAGTGAATCAGTGAGGGCTCCTTTCCTTTGCAGTGTGTGGTGATCGAGAGGGTGGGCCGACGGATGCTGCTGATGGTGGGATACGGCCTGATGACCTGCTGGGGGAGCGTCTTCACAGCGGCCCTGTGCCTGCAGGTAGCTGGGCGTGGATGAGGGCCGGGCGGCTGGGCCCCGCCTGACCTCCCCTCACCACCCCCGCACCCCCCGCCCCTCTGCCGCAGAGCTGCCTCCCGTGGATGCCCTACCTGGCCATGTCCTGCGTCTTTGCCTTCATCCTCAGCTTTGGCATTGGCCCTGGTGAGTGGGAAGAGCTCCTGCCTTTGGGCCTGGCTGAAGGAGCTCGGATGTCTGGGTGAAGGACGTTTGGGTGTGCCCTCCCCTCACTGTACAGGCTTCTGGGAGGGAATGGCTGGAGGAGCGCTGGAAGGACCCCACTTTCTTGTCTGGGGCAAGGTGGGGGGAAGGCCGGCCAGGGAGCCCTGGCTGGCAGCCTCCTGTCCCCACTCCTCCTTCCAGCCGGAGTGACCGGGATCCTGGCCACAGAGCTGTTTGACCAGATGGCCCGGCCTGCTGCCTACATGGTCTGTGGGACGCTCATGTGGACCATGCTCTTCCTAGTCGGGCTGGGGTTCCCCTTCATCCTGGTAGGCCTGCCCGCCCCTCCGTCCCGGGGGCCCTGCCGTAGGTTTTGTCCTTGTCAACATGAGAACCCCAGGGGAGGCTCCATCCAGGAGGTGTGAGACTGAAGGGGATGGGGCTTATCTGAGCCAAGAGGGTCGAGTCCCTCATCAGGACCTGTGGTGGGGCCTTCCATGTGGGGGCTGAGTGGGCCACACCAGATCTTGGGTCTCTTAACCCACAGGAGGGCTTGTCCCACTTCCTCTATGTTCCTTTCCTCTGTGTCTGTGTCTGTGGGGCCGTCTACACTGGCTTCTTCCTCCCTGAGACCAGAGGCAAGAGCTTCGTGGACATCTCAGAGGAATTGCACAGACTCAACTTCCCCGGGGTGGAGCCAGGGCCCCGCGTGGACAGGCCGGAGGTCATCCGGTCCACAGAACTCTAGCTCAGCAGGTTTGGCTGGGGCCCAGCCGGCCGCTGCTCTTCCCTCGGGCCCTCTCCATTCACCAGCCCTGCATCCCCTTGTTTAATGGGTGTTTGTTGAGCACCCACTGTGTGCAGGCCTGGTGTTTAGCCATCAGTGGTGAGCTGGACAGATGGGGTCTGGGACCTCTCGGTGCTCCCTGTCTGGAGGCAGTTAACAGGAAACCAATAAAAACACAATTACAAACTTGGGCGGACTTCCCTGGCAGTCCAATGGTTAAGACTTCGCCTTCCAATGCAGGGGGTGCGTGTTTGATCCCTGGATGGGGAGCTAAGATCCCACATGCCTCGCAGCCAAAAAACCAAAACATGAAACAGAAGCAATATTGTAACAAATTTTTTAAATTTTATTTATTTATTTTTGGCTGCATTGGGTCTTCATTGCGGCGAGCAGACTAGCTGCGGTGAGCGGGGGCTACTCTTCGTTGCGGTGCGTGGGCTTCTCATTGCGGTGGCTTCTTCTTGCAGAGCACAGGCTGTAGGCGCGTGGGCTTCAGTAGTTGTGGCACGTGGGCTCAGTAGTTGTGGCTCACGGGCTCTAGAGCACAGGCTCAGTAGTTGTGGTGCATGGGCTCAGGTGCTCCGCGGCATGTGGGATCCTCCTGGACCAGGGCTCAAACCCGTGTCCCCTGCATTGGCAGGCAGATTCTTAACCACTGCACCACCAGGAAAGCCCTATTGTAACAAATTCAATAAAGACTTTAAAAAAGGTCTACATCAAAAAAATCTTAAAACAAAACAAAACAAACAAACTTGGGGAAATGAAGTGGAAGAAAATACAGCTTCTGAAGGGTGTGTATACCAAGGTGTGTTTGAGAGGGGAGTGGTCAGGGAAGGATTTTCTGAGGAATTGATTGTTAAAAATCAACTTTATTGAGGTATAATTTACATACAATAAAATGTATCCATATTAAGTTTACATTTGATAAGTTTTGACAGGTGTACATATCCATGAACCACCACCACCATCAAGGTAGACTGGTCACATCATCTCCAAAGTTCCGTTGTGCCCCTTTGCAATCAATACCCTGCCCGACCCCAGGCCCTAGGCAACCGCGGACCTGCCTTCTGTCACTATAGGTCAGATTTCTTTTTCAGAATTTGATATAATTTCATACCATATGTATGCATTTGTGTCTAGCTTTGCTTCAGATAAAGTTTTTGAGGTTCATGCGTGTTGTTGCATGTATTAGCATATATCCCTTTGTATGGCTGAATAGTATTCCACTGTATGGATATACCATCATTTGTTAACCCATTTCCCTGCAGGTGGACATTTGGCTGTTTCTAATTGGTTGTTGTTTTTTTTTAATAAACTTATTTAATTAATTTATTTATTTTTGGCTGCATTGGGCCTTCGTTGCTGCGCACAGGCTTTCTCTAGTTTCAGCGAGTGGGGGCTACTTTTTGCCATGGTGCGCAGGCTTCTCATTGCGGCAGCTTCTCCTGTTGTGGAGCACGGGCTCTAGGCACGCGGGCTTCAGTAGTTGTGGTACGCGGGCTTCAGTAGTTGTGGTACGCGGGCTCTAGAGCGCAGGCTCAGTAGTTGTAGCACACGGGCTTAGCTGTTCCACGGCATGTGGGATCTTTCCAGACCAGGGCTCGAACCCACGTCCTCTGCATTGGCAGGCGGATTCTTAACCACTGAGCCACCAGGGAAGCCCTGTTTCTAATTGTTGGCCATGATGAATAAAACTGTTATGAACATTCCTGCACAAGTTGTGTAGACGTATGCTTTCATTTCTTTCGGGTAAATGAATTGCTGAGTTTAATAATGAATGTATCACTTTGTTATAAAGCAGAAACTAACACACCATTGTAAAGCAACTATACTCCAATAAAGATGTTAAAAAAAATAATGAATGTATGCTTAACCGTAGAAGAAACTGTTTTCCAAAGTGCATATACTGTTTTACATTCCCGCTAGCAATTGATGAGACTTCTGGGTGCTCCAAATCCTCATCAGCATTTGGCACTGTCAGTCTTTTTTGTGGTACGCGGGCCTCTCACTGTTGTGGCCTCTCCCGTTGCGGAGCACAGGCTCCGGACGCGCAGGCTCAGCGGCCGTGGCTCACGGGCCCAGCCGCTCCGCGGCACATGGGATCTTCCCGGACCGGGGCACGAACCCGTGTCCCCTGCATCGGCAGGCGGACTCTCAACCACTGCGCCACCAGGGAAGCCCTGTCAGTCTTCTTAATCTAGCCATTCCACTGACTGTGTAGTGGCGTCTTGTGGTTTTATTGAGGTATTTTCCTGATGGCTAATAATGCTGAGCATCTCTTCGTGTGCTAATATGACCATCCACGTATCTTCTTTGGTGAAGACTCTGTTCAAGTCTTTTGCCCACTATTTTTAAAAGAAGATTTTGTTTAGAGTAGTTTTAATTTCACAGCAAAATTGAGAGAAAAGTACAGAGATTTCCCATATGCCCCCTCTCCCACACATGCACAGCCTCCTATTATCAACGTCCCCCACCAGAGCGGGACGTTTGTTACAATCCACGACCCTACATTGACACGTCATTATCACACCCAAAGTCCATGGTTTACATTAGGGTTCACTCCTGTAGTTTTATGTGCTATGGGTTTGGACAAATGTATGATGACGTTATCCACCATGATAGTATCATGCAGAGTATTTTCCCTGCCCTAAAAATCCTCTCTGTTCTACATGGTCATCCCTTTCCTGCCCCTGCCCAGCGCCTGGTGACCACTTACCTTTCTATGGTCTCTACAATTTTGTTTTCTCCGGAATGTCATATAGTTGGAATCATAGAGGATGTAGCCTTTTCAGATTGGCTTCTTTCACTTAGTAATATGCATTTAAGTTTCTTCCATGTCTTTTCATTGCTTAATATTTCTTTTTGCACTGAGTAAAATTCCATTGTCTGAATGTCCCAAAGTTTATTCACCTACTGAAGGACATTTTGGTTGCTTTTGGCAATTATGAATAAAGCTGCTATATACATCCATGCGCAGGTTTTCTTGTGGACATACATTTTCACCTCCTTTGGGTAAATACCAAGAAGCATGATTGCTGGATCATAGGGTAAGAGCATGTTTAGTTTTGTAAGAACCTGCCAAACTCTCTTTCAAAGTGGCTATACCATTTTAATTCCCATCAGCACTGAATGAGAGCTCCTGTTGCTCCACATCCTCACCAACATTTGGTGTTGTCAGTGATTTTGGCCATTCTAATAAGTGTGTGGTGGTATTTTGTTGTAATTTGCACTTCCCAGATGACAAACATGGAACATCTTTTTGTATGCTAATTTTCCATCTGTATATATCTTCTTTGGTGAGTGTCTGTTAAAAGTGTTTTGGGACTTCCCTGGTGGTGCAGTGGTTAAGAATCCACCTGCCAATGCAGGGGACACGGGTTCGAGCCCTGGTCTGGGAAGATCCCACATGCCGTGGAGCAGCTAAGCCCGTGTGCCACAACTACTGAGCCTGAGCTCTAGAACCTGCAAGCCACAGAGCCCGCGTGCCACAACTACTGCAGCCTGTGTGCCTAGAGCCTGTGCTCGGCAGCAAAGAGAAGCCACCTCAATGAGAAGCCCACACACTGCACCAAAGAGTAGCCCTCGCTTGCCGCAAATAGAGAAAGCCCGTGCACAGCAACGAAGACCCAACGCAGCCAATAAATTAATTAATTAATTAAAATAACTGTTTGGCTGTTTTTAAAAATCAAGTTGTTTGTTTTCTTATTGTTTTAAGGGTTCTTTGTATATTTTGGATAACAGTCTTTGATCAGATGCATCTTTTGCAGATATTTTCTCCCAGTCTGTGGTTTGCCTTTTCATTTTCTTGACAGTGCCTTCCACAGAGCAGACATTTTTATTATTTATTTATAAAATTTATATATTTTTTTAAAATAAATTTATTTATTTAATTTATTTTTGGTTGCATGGGGTCTTCGTTGCTGCATGCAGGCTTCCTCTAGTTGTGGCGAGCGGGGGCTACTCTTTGTTGCGGTGCACAGGCTTCTCATTGCGATGGCTTCTTTTGCTGTGGAGCACGGGCTCTAGGCACGCGGGCTTCAGTAGTTGTGGCTCGCGGGCTCTAGAACGCAGGCTCAGTAGTTGTGGCACACGGGCTTAGTTGCCTCATGGCATCTGGGATCCTCCTGGACCAGGGCTCAAACCCGTGTCCCCTGCATTGGCAGGTGGATTCTTAACCACTGCGCCACCAGGGAAGTCCCTGCATGTATTTTTTAAAGTCTTTTTTTGTTTTAATTAATTTATTTTATTTTATTTATTTTTGGCTGCATGGAGTCTTTGTTGCTGTGTGCGGGTTTTTTTCTAGTTGCTGTGAGCGGGGGCTACTCTTCGTTGTGGTGCACTGGCCTCTCATTGCCGTGGCTTCTCTTGCTGCGGAGCGCAGGCTCAGTAGTTGTGGTGCACGGGCTTAGCTGCCCCATGGCATGTGGGATCCTCCTGGACCAGGGCTCAAACCCATGTCCCCTGCATTGGCAGGCGGATTCTTAACCACTGCACCACCAGAGAAGCCCATTTTTAAAGTCTTTATTGAATTTGTTACAATATTGCTTCTGTTTTATGTTTTGGTTTCTTGGACTGGAGGCATGTGCGATCTTAGTTCCTGGACCAGAGATGGAACCCGCACCCCCTGCATTGTAAGGCGAAGTCTCAACCACTGGACCACCAGGGAAGTCCCCAGATGTTTTTAATTTTAAAGAAGTTCAGCTTATGAATTCTTTCATGGATTGTGTTGTATCTAAAAAGTCATCACCACATCCACAGTCATCTAGTGTCCACCATTTTTTTTTTTAAGCTGCGCTGGGTGGCTTGCAGGATCTCAGTTTCCTGACCAGGGATTGAACCCGGGCCCGGTGAAAGCGCCGAGTCCCAATCACTGGACCACCAGGGAATTCCCTTATTCATTTACTTTTAATGGATGTCCAGTGGTGCCGGCACTGTTTGTGGAAAAGACCATCTTTTCCCCA